AAAATTAACTCGCACCTGGTGCAAGTTCTACTCATAACTAGGTTGCACTTTGTAACATTGGGTTGCACCAGTGCAAGTAACAAAGCACTAAATCGAGCCCTGTCTTGTGTCATCAACACAGCTGTCTGTGAGATCACAGATTGGACCAGATTATGACTACAGGAACTGTTGTGTTACCTTGGTTGATCTGATACCGACCACACTTCACCTGCTTATATCAACAGCCTCTGAGAACATGCTGTTGATTAACTTGAAGCTGTGCTGTGCTGTTGCAGTTCAGACTATAGTAGAAGTGATCAGCAAGTGATCAGCAAAATCATTACAGTTTGTGTCACTTGAGTTACTGATGGTTAAGCTGTTATACATGTTGGTCCTATTCACTGTGTTAATCATTCAGGATATTGCAGGCAAGGGGATTACACCCATCAACATTTAAGTCATTACAATCTGTGTAATGAACAGATAGGATAGCTTCATGTAATTTGCACCAGGGGGCATAAACATTGTGTTGAACAGATGCAGGATTAGACTCTCTTATAGATCCTGAAACAAGTCATCTTGAAGTCCACAGCAAGTCTACAGTTCTTTAACCAAGTCTAGATTTCGTCTACCTTATTAAGAAGATTCTAGCTTCTTTCGATTAAATATTGAATGTCAGTTCGACCAACTTGCAGTTCAAGATTTTAATGTCTGACTAAATGTTAGTCTTCAGACATGTTGAACACATGTAATAATTTGGTATGGAGGACATTGTTCCTCATTGGTATACACTCGGTGGACTGGTTACACCGTTTGATAATAACAATTACTTAACATATTAAATCCAATGGAAATTGATAGAAAGCAGTATCACATGTGGTGTGCAGGCTGATCAGGCAGCAGGTGCTTGTAGTACATCATTATATTACCTGTCAATCAGTCCATGTGCTCCAGGAGATATCCTGCCATATCATCAAGTGTTTGCATGTGTCGAGTCAGGTCACTGGCAGCAATATCGTAAACATGTATAGCCGATGTAGGAGTTCTTTGACACCCTACCTGACCAGTCACTCAGGCGGCAATATAGTAAACATATAGCTGATCTAAAGTGAGTTCCTGTACGCCGTACCTGGATGAAAAGGTTCAACCTCGCGAAAGTTCCAACCAGACTTCATCTTCACAGAAGACAGCCATACATGAATACATTCCCTAAGTCCTATAAGTTCCAAAGTCATTTATTTGGAAATAAAGTCGTAAAGTCAGCTGAGGAATGTCTTGGCGCATACTGACTTGCAACAGGTGTTAGAGAGTGTGAACAGCATCTGTGCTTTTGTGTTTACGGTGAACCCCGTGCAGTGGCTATTGTGTCGTATTGACCGATCAGGTAGATGGAGGCGGACTGTGCAGGTGATAAGTGCAGTTATACGGTTATACCACAGTCAATTTAAACCTATATTGGAAGAAATACATACATCTACAATCTGGAATACTGCTTGTTTGTCACGGTGGTTTTGACCTGCTCAAATGATTTGATGGCTGTTGAAGTGCAAGAAAACTTCCACCAACACTTGAGACTGAAAGGACTTTGGAGGACATTATATTGGTGATGTTTGTTGTGCTGTGTATGAAGGTGTCTGGATGTTCGTGGATTCTTCAAACATACAGCCAGACGGCATTTCATGAATAAGTGTACATACGCTGAAAAAGCATCACATGCATATGTGTCAGAGCAGGTTTAATGTGCAAAGAGACAGCTTGTCATGTATTCAAGAACTGTTTCAATAAACAGAGAGACTGTTTCTACCAGTAGTATTCAACTACAAGAAGTTGTATAACAACTTGACAAGAGTCTGGTGAAAACCTTGGAGACTTGACTGAACCTGTTGTTCCTCATCTCCTCCAGTTTGTGTTACGCCTTGCATATTTGATCATATTAATCCTCCTGGACTGAAGCAACCTTACCTGGCTTGTGTTGGCGACTTTATTTGCAGATTGAAACAAGTCTAAACTTTCACAGCATCAGTGAGGTCAGGTGGTTCTAACTTGCCAGATTGTCTCTGTGGTTGTTGTGCTACATGGTTGTGTACAATCCACATACTGTTTGATCGACAGTGCTAGGCTCATATTCTTCTCTGCTCATATTTCCCAACAACACAAGTTTCAGCATGCTGATTACTTTCCCCAATTGTTGGTGTAGTATTTTGTAATTAGCGCTAGACGCACCACGTGGGTGTTTGATGCAGGGGATAATCTTGGTATTCTCGGTGGAAATTACTGGAGGAACTGTGATGTCAGTTAACATTGTTTGACCCTCAAATGGTCTGCATGTAATCTTCAAATCACCTTCACCTTGGGGAAATGTGCAGAGGATTACCTGTGCTTGCAGTTAAACATGCATCAGATGATCAACAGTCACGGTTTGGGGAGTCTCTGACTGGAGGGAATATCAACTTCATCACCGTGGTTGATGCCAATTAACATCAGGATGAGGAAGTGAGATGTTGATGAACATCATTTTACTTATGTCAGCAAATTAAGGGAGTAGTTTAAATGTGCTGACTGAATTAAAGGATGACTGGTTACTGAGTGGACATCTTTACTTTGGATAAATACGCATAGTTGGTGATTTATCAAATCTCAGGATAGTGATTTATCATAGCTCAAGGACAGTATTACTATGAATATCTTTGTGTCATTCTGACAGTGATTTTATATTCAGGTGGGATTTCATTATCTTTGTACATGCAGATGTTTTCAACGATATCAATATTGACGTGATGTGAAAAAAGAAATCGAAGCTCACCATCTGTGTTACCTACATGCAAGCTGCCGTCATTTGGATGTCTATGTTACACAAACGCAGGTAGATTGTGAAGTGCAATTACCTGATTCTTGAACAGTTTCCACGATTCAGTGCAGTGAATCATCTGTTCTGCACTGATTTTGTTCTGTTTTGTGTGAAGATTCAAGGAGCCGAGTTGCAGTGTGTCATGTGTTATAAATACAGTTATACCATGGGAAGTACAAACTCATATCATTGACTGTCACAGTTTGATTGAAACAAATCATTCAGGCCTCAGCCATTACATCATCTGACTGTATCCTTGGTAAGGACTTACAATCAGAAAGGATATAGTTAAAGCAAATTTACAGTTTCTGGTTTTCAAGGTTAAAATTCCTTGTATATGTGGATTTTGTGAGGACACTATTTCTGTGTCTTGAACCAAGGAGATACACTCTGTGAAAATAGCATTCTGGATTACTTACCAATGAATAATGTGCTGAAGGAAAATTGATGAGGAATACGCTAATAGAAGAACTATCTCTATAGAAATTTATCTTCACAGCAATAACCTTAGAGTGCTTCTTTAGCATCTATCAAACATATTTTGTTTGCTTGCATGAGTGGATCAACTGATGATTCTAGAGTGAGATGTATATATCAATAATGCAGTAGGAGAACTATACAGAAAGTTTGTGAAGTTCACAAAGAGTTCACTCAACCATTATGCCTTGTTTCAACATCACAATTGCATGACATACACCATTCAGTATCCTGTGACACCTTGAACGTAAATGGAGCCGAGGACGTTGGACTTTATCTGAAACTGAGGAAGTTAGATACAACCATAGTAGTATTTATCAAGACTTGTGACGCACACATGAACAAGTTGAGGACATTCATGAGCTGATTACGATTCAAGAGTGGTGTTTTTCAGTTGTAATCTTCACCAAAGTTTGGACTCGACAGCAGGAGTTGTGAGTCAGGCAATGCTTTATGGAAAATTAAATCTTTTGGCAAAATGTTATAATGTATATTGCAAGGACATACAGGCTTGACTTTCTGTACATATATGAACTGACCATTCATCCATGACAGCCAAACTGTGTCATTGTTGGGTGGGATGTAATTGAATGATTAATGATAATGTTGGTGATGTTGTGTTGGAGCAAGACAGTGTGATGGATACTGATGAGCTCTTCCTGGTGTTGTCATGTCCGACTGAAGAACAGAGACTGATGAACAAGGTCACTAGACTGGACTGTTGATGGACAAGGTTGGAAGACCTCAAGAGGGTCATGTTTGATTTTGGAATTATGAAATATTACATAGATGTTGTAGCCGTTGATTGTTTGTAGATTGGGCAATAGATGAACAAGATTTGAAGACTTCAAGTGTGGAATTTATGGAATGTTACGTAGATGTTGTAACAACTCATTGTCAAGAGACTGGATAACTGATGGTCAAGACCTGAAGACCTTAAGTTGGTCAAATTTGAGTGTGGAATTATGGGATATTAAATTGTCTGAAAAGATGGACAAGATTTAAGGATTGACCTTTCATGACTGTTTCAACACTAATCTCTGACTTTTGGATTATTCTCCCTGGAGGGCAGAATTGTTCTACTGTGTAGGTGTGTAGGACAGTGTCAACCAGTTGGAACTTCTGTTGGATGACGAACATTGCTGCCATGGAATGGTGAAGTTGCATCAGTTTCAGACGGACATGGTTCATGTCAAGGTCAGATGAGAAGAAACATAATGGCATCACTGAATCAGTGAATGCTTATGTTTGACTGAATGAAATCATCTGTTTGGAATAGCAAGATCTCATGACATTATTTTCAGAGTTAAGTTGGGCATTTGAAATTGTGTCAGAGTTAGGAAGAAACACTTCGTGTCTTGAATTAGTAAATGTTCCCAGGTTAATGAATGCTTGTTGGTATGTGTTGAAGTAGTGACAGCTCCTGTGTTGTTGAAGGCCATCGGGAAGCTTCAGATTCAGGTCCTACAGGGACGTTGTGGTTGTGTAACATGTAATATAACGTGTGTAGTTAAGGTGTTTCTCACTGGATACAGAGAATTTCCTTGTTTCTGGTGACCTAACTGGGACTAATTTGAATGATATGAAACAGCAAGTACAATGAGGAGGAATATTTTTGATCTCAGTAACAATACATTGTCAGTACATTTGACTCTATTTTGAACAAACATGGACCTTGTATATCGTTACAACTGACTACCAGGAAATATCACCATTGGCACCATTCTTTACAACTGTCAGTCTCCTATGTAGGCACTATCATACACTGGAATTATTATCATAGGCCGTTGTGTGCTGTTAGGGTGATTTGGAGTTTTCATCAGTGTGTGCTGGAATATTTCCATTTATTGAGGATTCTCCCAGCGGATGTGTTGTAAACCTGTGTTTCATTTTGTGGATACCAGCACTTTCAGGATCCTGGCCCCCGAGACAAGTATATGTGTTCACTCACAAAACTACAAGCCATTTGCTTGGATCTCATAGCATCAGACTGTCAGTGTTGGATTAGCAAGATCTGAGAAAAAAGGAAGCTGTGTGTTCATATCTGGTGATGGATTTAATCATTTGTTTCCAAGTAAATATCTGACATCTACAGAACTGAGAACCTGTGATGTAGGTCAGAATCTGCTGGATTTATGATTAATAATAATCAGGAGGTTGGTGTGAAATACTGATTACTGGCTGGGTATAACACAGTACCTGCTACATGGACATATTACACTCGTGTGATGTTGGTATATATCACCTGGGTTTGAGTGGAATACCGATATTAATCTGATTGGTTCAATAGGATTACTTCTTCAATAGGCGATACAGAACGTATCTCACCATGGCGTTAGCCAAAGCTATAAAGATCATCTCTGACTTCAGTATCAACCTTGTGGATCCAGTAAGTTGAAGTACTATGTGTCTTATATTTTTATCAGTTGATCAAAATACGTCGTGAGCCTTACAATGAGGAGTTACCTGGGTGTTTCTGTGTGTATGTCCTGGAAACCTGCATAGATGGGGATCCTAGACTGTAGGGGTCCAACGTATTTTGTCTTACAGCCCTTGACCTATGTTATTTTCAGTTGCCCCAAGCGCTCTATGATATTCTGGGTGGTGGGGTAGCCTAGTGGTTAAAGCGTTCGCTCATCACGCCGAAGACCAGGTTCAATTCCCCACATAGGTACCATGTGTGAAGCCCATTTCTGGTGTCCCCCGCCATGATGTTGCTGGAATATTGCTAAAATCGGCGTAAAACTAAACTCACTTACTCATCGTTCACCTCACTTGGACTCTTTTTCAGTTCAAATGGAGATGTTTCCATCAAATTTATTCATTTTCAGAGACTTAGTGTTAGTCTAGGGTGAAAGGGTGACCAGTGTACCAACAAACCATGAAAACGTACTCCCAGACTGAGTAATCGTCTGTGACCACTATATGATGACTAGGGCTGACTATTGGCAAATAAACTATATTTGCGATATGTTGCGATTCAGGTACACATATTGCAGTTTGTATTGCAGCAGACTGAGAGCTAATGCTTGACAGTGAGTGGCACTGACTGTACCTGCACATCCTATTTTCTACGTGCTAAGGTCCTAAAAATAAATGTTAGGTTGTAGATAGCAGCAGTCTCAAAATAAGGTTGTAGTTTGGGACCACAATGTGTCGCAGTTTGTTGCTTTGAGAAATTGTCTGTTTGGCCAAAGAAAATCTGTGTAGCTGTTATTTCATACATTCACATGTTGTCAGAAGTCACCAGTGTGAAGCTCAGCTTCTTCCTGGTTAGCAGTACTAGTCATTGTCTCAAATTTACCGATGCAAATAGCTGTCAGATTCTAACATTTCTGCACAAATTTCATTTGTCTCATTTTGTAAGTTTTGTCATGCAAGTGTAAATGAAACATAATCACAAAAATATTGGCAAATGTATGCTAAAGTGTGATCCATGACCCCTCCAAGTCAACTCCTGCTTTCTCAGTGAGTCTTTCCTCTCTCTCTCTCTCTTTTCCGCCTCTCTCCTGCCTCTCTCTCGTCTCTACTTTGACATTTTTCACCAACATCAGTGATTTTCTGCCTCATCATATCCAATGTATTCTATTACTTGTGTGATTTTTATAAAAGGCTTCGTGTAGAGGTGTCTGTGTATAACCTTAGTTATGTCCTAGTCCTACAATCAGGTATTGTCACAGTGTGATGTTTTATCACACGTACACACCAGTCCACACAGCCCCGTATCTACCGTACATTGTAAGTAGATCTGTATCTCCAGACAGGCTCACATACTGCAGGATGCGTTGAAGTGAACTGGGAGTGTGAAGAAGCAAGTGCAGCCATGATGTTCGGTTTGGTATTTAGATTTGTGAAATGGGAGCCTTGCCAGGTTGTCGGCACATGGACAAGTTTTTGTTGCAAGATGTGTGCCGACTCTCCTTATGTGAATATTCAGGCTCTTCTCCAGCTTCCAGAAATTCACACTGTTTGAGATAGACTTGCTTCGGATTTGTTTCAAGTCATGAGTTTAACACAAGGCTATCAATAGTCTCTGATTTGCTCTTTGATATGTGAGGACGAATTTGAGAGGATTTCAGGCAGGGCTTTGTTGGTGTGTGAAATTTTAATCTATTTTTTCAAGCTTGAATTGAGTGAAGGTCACCAGGTTGTGAGATTTCTTTATTCTTTCATCCCAATCTTGGTTTAAACTATTGTAATTTTTGATTTTGTGACAACATTTTCTCAATTCATTGTGTTTCTTCATAGAAGCTACAAGATGGGAATAAATAGAATCAGGCATGGTCCAGTAGACTTCAAACATTCCCTGGTCATGCTGACATTATGGACCATCCTATTGCTTTGGTATAAATAGGACTCGCTCACTTTAGGCAGATATAACTGTCATCTTGATATGTCTGATATGTTTTCCAGTTAGACTTCAAAACATTTGACTTTTTTGTCTCATTCGGAAAAATAATATTTTGTGTGACTAAATGTTTTTGAGGTCGTCTAAATTGTTCCACTCTATAGAACAAGAGTGGAGTGTGGGGTATTTGTAACAGTAATGTCTCATGAGGTTACACAGGATCAACAATGTCCAGTGAGGTTACACAAGAGAAACATTATAACGTGAGGTCACACAAGAGAGACAATGTTCTATGAGGTCACACAAGAGAGACAATGTTCTATGAGGTCACACAAGAGAGACAATGTTCTATGAGTATGAGGTCACACAAGAGAGACAATGTTCTATGAGGTCACACAAGAGAGACAATGTTCTATGAGGTCACACAAGAGAAACAATGTTCTATGAGGTCACACAAGAGAGACAATGTTCTATGAGGTCACACAAGAGAGACAATGTTCTATGAGGTCACACAAGAGAGACAATGTTCTATGAGGTCACACAAGAGAGACAATGTTCTATGAGGTCACACGAGAGAGACAATGTTCTATGAGGTCACACAAGAGAGACAATGTTTTATGAGGTCACACAAGAGAGACAATGTTCTATGACTGACTGACTGACGGAGTTTGCTTTTACGCCGCTTTTAGCAATATTCCAGCAATATCACGGCGGGGGACACCAGAAATGGGCTTCACTCATTGTACCCATGTGGGGATTCGAACCCGGGTCTTGGGCGTAACAAGCCAACGCTTTAACCACTAGACTACCCCACTGCCCCTAATGTTCTATGAGGTCACACAAGAGAAACAATGTTCTATGAGGTCACAAAGGAGAGACAATGTTCAATGACATCACAAAGGAGAAACATGTTTCATGAGGTCACACAGGAGAGCCGTGCTTGACCTTGCAGGTCGTCTTCACAGAGCCTCTCCCTCCCTGACACTTTCCCCAAATATTTCATTCAGACACACCAGGATTAGGTATGCAAAGTGTGCACAACATTTTTAACTCAGCAGTTGCAAACTTGATGTTCAAACACTGGCCTATTTCAAGTAGCTTTGTGGTCACAGACTTGCCTGTTTCCTCAATCTTTGTATGATCTGGGGTAAAAATTATAGTTGACAGATATTGATGTCGTGGGCTGAGTTCGTTCTCCTGTTTCTTTGATTTGATTGGTTAATTGTGTTAATAGAGTGCTGATGTCAATACGAAAAGTGTTTAAGTGCCTTACTTTTTTATTAAGGGTTAAGGAATTGACACTCAGTGTATTCCCAGATTGTTAACTGTTAATCTAGAATGTCCTGCAGTCTTGTAGATAGAGGTCACCATACATGAAGGTGAGTAGTCCAGGTGTTTGCTTGTACTGCTTATAGGCTCAGTTTGATTCTTCAGGGAATTATAAACCCATGAGATGTCCTATTCTGACAACTGAATCTGTGTTCCTGGTCCAGTTTTGGGATTATGGCCAGGGATAGGCCTCAATACAGATGATGATATTAGATGAAAGCGTTAATGAAAATATTTATTAGGTGGTTAATAATGGTTGTGGTATCTAACCTGGATTGTCTGGTTAATGTATCCTATAGTGTGGGCTGTAACAATGCACGTTTTGGTGACCAGCTCGCTCACACACACACACACACTCACTCACTCACTCACTCACTCACTCACTCACTCACTCACTCACTCACTCACTCACTCACTCACTCACTCACTCACTCACTCACTCACTCACTCACTCACTCACTCACTCACTCACTCACCACTCACTCACTCACTCACTCACTCACTCACTCACTCACTCACTCACTCACTCACTCACTCACTCACTCACTCACTCACTCACTCACTCACTCACTCACTCACTCACTCACTCACTCACTCACTCACTCACTCACTCACTCACTCACTCACTCACTCACTCACTCACTCACTCACTCACTCACTCACTCACTCACTCACTCACTCACTCACTCAGACATTGCCCATGGTTTGGGTGAAGCAATGTCTTCACACTGTCCAGGGACACAATAAATGGTCACTGTACCCATGTGGGAACCAAAACCTGGCATAGTCAAACACCTTAACCACTTGGCTATCCTACTGCCCAGGTTTGAGTAAGTTGTAAAGGTGTGGTGCGAGATGCTGTTACTCACTTGTGGACCATGTTGCTATGTGCAGCGTGCAACCTTGGAAACACGTAGATCTGTCGCGGCTGGTAATTAAAAGCATCACGTCACTGAGTTGTTGACAGGAGAATTCAGATGTTTATTCAGCAGGTTTTGTCTCCAAGTCACACCCTGGAGAGGAATTTGGGATCTGCACTGAATTGTTAAAAAACAATTGATTAGTTCTGTAGTGTTACATGGAACATAGGAAAGTCGTGAAATCATGAAAATGAATGACATGAAATGTGTTTATGTAATGATAGTGAGGAGATCGACTTAGAATCTCAAGTTTAATGTCTCACTTTGGATGTTCACCATTATTCAGCAGATTGTTTTGAATGCAAGGAGTAAAACAATTTCAACACTTGGAAGTTAGATAATTATCTATATAAATTATTGTTTCTAAATTGAATTTTCTCGGGGTGAAATTTCAAATACCGTTATTGTGCTATTTTTGTAAGCTTTACATAGTAGTGCCAACAGTTTGAGTCATGCCACCTCTCTCAGTGTGGTTTGGCGATGTCCAGGGGAATGCTTCAGGAGAAAGATTTTTCATGGCATCAAATCTGAAATGTTTGTCCAGAACTGAGGAAGTAAAAATTGTGAAAAATGTATGTGAAACACTTTTGAATGTTTGTACCTGATTAAGCCAAGCTATTACTTGTGATTCTGTCTGTAAGCATGTTAGGTGTAGAAAAAGGTATTGTTTAGAAAAAGGATTTTCCTTTTGTTTCTTAACAAATAGCTGTGACCAAATGTTTGCTTGGATTGTTTGGGTTAGGGGCTATTGGGAATGGGGTGTTGAGATGCAATCAGCATTATTCCTGCATG